TTTCAGATCACTACTCGGTGTGTGCAATTTTGAATCAAGGGAGAGTCTTGAAAATCGATTCAAAAATTATCCAAATTTGACTTTGTCTTTCATATTTATTTTTTCTGCAGATTCTTGCTCCTTAATTCACCGTTTATGGTTAGCAAATAAGTCTGAAAGTAGTGGCAATAATATGTCATATTAGTTGAGATTTTTTTGGTTTTCGGTTTGTTTGTAAGTCTATAAATAGGCACCTTCAATTCTGGAATAAAATGTGTCAGATAACTTCCAAACTCTCGTTTCTGAGTGTTAAGTTCTCTGTGCAGCTCCTTTTGTTTTCAATACTCTACTATTCTAAATTCCCAACATTTACTTGTAATAACTAAGAAAGAGCACGCGATATGTTTTTCTTGTTGGGTTTTGAGATTTTGGTCTTAAAAAGAATCATTTGAAATATTATTTCAGGATAGTTGTTTTGGGGGCAATAACCATATTTATTATGGAGACTTGATCTCTCCATGAGATCAAGCCTCCGTATCACGAAGGATTTTCCTTCGTAATATGAAGGCTTGTTATGGAGAGATCAAGCTTTTGTATCACGGAGGAATTTTCCTCCGTGATACGGAGGCTTGTTATGAGAGATCAAGTCTCTTGTTATGGAGAGATCAAGCATCCGTATTACAGAGGATTGAGACTTCCAAGCATGGAGACTAATTTTTTTCTTTTATTTTTATTTGTTGATATTTTTTGCTATCACTATTTTATTTTCAACAATCACTTTTATGTAAGAAATTATTAACAAATAAAAATATAGACAAAAAATATTTGTAAAATAGAAGAAGTTACTTATAAGTAAAAAATCTTCAATTTTAACGTTAATAAAAATACAATAAATACAAAATTTGTACAACGCACATATCAAAGACTAGTGTTGTTAAAAAGTATAGAAAATTTTTGAGTTTACATGTATAATTATTTTATATTGAGAATGTGTGGTTGAAAGCAATGCAACAAAAATAGTCTTTTACAACACAAAGAGGCAAATTTTGGTAATTGAGTGTTACAAAATGTTTCTATCACAACATTCTAATAAATGAACGTTGCTCTTGGATAATATAATTAGGATTTGACAACATTTTATAAATGAACATTTCTAATGTCACATTTTGCAAAGTTTATTGAGTGTTGTTAAAAGTTTTATTTATACAACATTTAGTGAGTGTTGCTAAAAGTAGTTCTATAGCAATGTTTACTAATTGTGGCTGATACTTAGATATATTATCTTCTGCAATGCTCTTTTAATATTGCGAAAGGGTTCTATTTTTGCAAATCGTTGCTGATACTTAAATATATTATCTTTTGCTACGCTCTTTTAATGTTGTGAAAGGGTTCCATTTTTGCAACATTATATAAATGTTGGGAAAAGGTAAACTTATCGCAGCGTTTATTAATCGTTATTAATATGATTTTGTAGACGTTTTTCCACAACATTTTTTATGTGCTGCTAATATAAACTTATCACAACATTTTTTGAACGTCGCTAATAAATTTAAATAGGCTAACCCTGTTGAGCTTTTCACTTAACCAACCCAAAGGGCAAAAAATAATAATAATAATAATAATAATAATAATAATACTAATAATAATAAAAATTAAAAATTAAAACAAAAATTGACCCAAAACCAATTATTCAAACCTAAGCCGTTGTTTGGCTCCCGTTATTTCTTCATTAAAATGAAAAATATGATTGTTATCTATCAAATAAAGCCATCAAATTTGAATTTATATTTCTTGCGTTGATCCATAACAACCATATTTTTCATGTTCATTCTTAAAAAAATGACAAACAAACAAGGGTTAAATGTTGGAATTGAAACCACGGAATTCCCAAATCCAAACTGCAACTTTCTCTCAGCCTCTCAATCTTCGACTCTCCGCTCATCCCTGAGTCTCTCGCGACCTCCCTGACTCGACACCTCAACGGCTGATGCCTTCCATCGACAGAAGAAGAAGGTTAAGAAGGAAGGTCCTTCGTCCATTCGTTTCTCGGCCTCTTCGTCTGATAAGTGCTAAGTGGTACATTTTCCTATTACTCTATATAATTTTATGCAAAATCTGCTCTGCCTCTGAGCACTTATTTTCTGAATGTTATTATGTCTATTTGAGCAGAGTTTAATTTTGTGTGTGTGTGTGACATTGAGCTGAGTAGTTATTATATGAGTTTTATTTTGCTTTTAATTGAGTGCATACCAGATGCTTGTTAATGTTATTATGTGTATTTGAGTAATGAATATATGGATGTTGATTTGTGCTTAACTTGATAGTGCACAGTAGATAGAATTGAGAGTAGATTTTGCTTGATTTTACTTGATATGCTGATTTAGACTTAATTTGATTTTGCTTTCAATTAATTTGATTTGGGCTTAACGAAAATGAAGAGATTTGGGGTAGATATTTCTTTCTATTAACTTGATTTTGCTTGTTTGTAACTTGAATTGAGGATAGATTTGGTTTTCTATAACTTGATTTGACTTTCATATAACTTGATTTGGGCTTAAAGTCAAACCATTCTTAATCAAATATATGAATTTGATAAACTGTGTCAATTCATATATTCTATTGTTGGGCTAAAATTGGACATACTGACTGCATTTCTTTGCACGGAAACAAAGCCATTAAGTTCAGGTTTTCACGAAGGTTCCAACTTCAAGCAGGAAAAGAACCTTCCATGTAGGTAATGGATTGTTCTTTTTTCACCAATATAATAGAATGCTATGGTTTGATTTCAAATAGGATAGCTCAGTTTGATACAAACTAATCATAATTTTGGGTTTTGAAGGAGAAAAGAAAATGTAATTTTTTTGGTATATCTATCAGATTAGTTGACTATATTTTCAGCAATTTGATATACAAAGTAAAAATTGTAGGACCACGTTACATATACCGAATTTTTTTACCTAATCCCCTACCAACTACTCACAATAGGGGGTAGGGACCACATTTTGGGATTTTTTTACTCATGTAGGTTCCGCGTGCATGTGAGAGGGGGTAAACAATTTGGTACACCTTTGAATGTACAAATAGAATTATACAAAATTGTATTGTAAATTTCCGTGATCCTCAACTTCTTTTTTCAATCCCTCAGATGAATGCCAGATTTAGAGACAACATTAATCATCATTTTGAGTTCAACAGAAACATCTAAATAGTGTTGTACTGGGATTGAATGTGCAGTGGTTCTTTCAAGGCTTCACGGATTTTAGTTGTTTTCTAGCTGCAATGTATTTCCAATAAGAGCATACTTGGATGTGGTTAGAAGTTATGTAACTACTACTTTCTAGAAATTAAGTTTTTCGGTCAAAAGAGTATCTTTGCTAAACCACAATTGCACAAAAAAAACCTATATTTGCATTTACATAACTTTTTCTCTAATATATCTTTGTTTTGTTCAGTGTTGGATAGTATCTTTGCCTACAATGGGCAAAGAGTGGCTGAAAAACATTATCATCTAAAATTAGATATTATGGATCTAGATATCAAAAAAATAAAAATAAAAAAGGAAAAAAAGTATAATGATCATAAAGTTTTTGTTGTAGATTTTTGGGACAATATAGAGATGAAGCCAGGAATTTTGTTAAATGAGCTTGTGAAAATTACAATTTAGAAATGAAAGTATGCCCCTGTGTTCCTTAGTCACATAGGATGTTTGAGGACTTTTATATGCAACATTATATGGATCTGAAAACCCTCTTGATGGGAGAGCGAAAGAGATTGAAAATTTAGTTGATGATGTTGAAACGCCTTTATATCCTGGTTGTAAGGTGCTCACGAAAATGTTAGCTTTTGTTTCTATATTTAAGGATAAAGTTTCAGATGGTTTATCGGACAGTGGTTTCAATGAACTCATATATCTTGTTCGAGACATGTTGCCAAAGAATAATACACTTCCAAACACATTTTATATGATGAAAAACTTGTCAATACATTTGATCTTGGCTATGAGAAGATACATGTTTGTGTGAATGATTGTTGTCTATGTAGAAAAGAGCTTGAACGGGTTTAATTATGTCCAAAATGTGGCTGGTCAAGAGGGAAAGTTAACCAATGAACTAAAAAATTCAGAAGAAAATTCCAGCAAAAGTTGCGTTATTTTCCTATAATACCACGACTTTAGAGGATATTCGAAATATAAGAGATGGCAATACAATTGAGATGCAATCAATTAATAAAATTTCAGATGGTAAAATTAAGCATTTAGTTGATTCATTGAATTGGGAAATAATTAACAGGAGGTGTCCACATTTTGCATCAGATCCTCCAAAGATTAGAGCTGGCTACGTATGGATTTAATCTTTTCAAAAATCTTAGCTCTAAATATAGTTGTTGGCCACTAATTTTAACTATATATAACTTGTCTTCCTCATTATGCATGTCAAAGGAAAGTTTGATGCCAAGTTTATTGATCTCGAAACCAAAGCGGACAGGCAATGACATATATGTTTATTTGGACTACTTGTAGACGACTTATTATTGTTATGGAGTGATGAAGCTGAGATGTATGATGCAATCACAAAGTCTACATTTAATTTAAAAGCTATTTTGATGTAGACAATACATGACTTCCCCACACATGGAAATATATCTGGATGGCTCATTAAGGGAAAAATTGTTTGCCATATTTGTCATGATCATTATGGTTGATGCATGGTAGGACATTTCCGTACATGACACAGAGAAGATTTCTCACCTTCAATCATCAATTTTGCATGAAAGGAAGCTGGTGCAAGGGACATATTGAAATAGGTATTAGGCCGAAGATAACAAATGATGAAGAAGATTCTATTGAAGTTGATACAATTACAAATGATTGGGTAAAAATGGTAAACGAAAGAGGAAGAAGAATATAACTCAATCTAATGTAACGAGAAAGAAAAAGTGTATATTTGTCAATCTATCATATTGGAAGGTAATTGTTGTAATATTTAATAATTCTACTTTCATGTACTTAATATAACACCATGGAGGTTTGATTTGCAGATTTTATTTATATGTCATAATTTGGATGTGATACATGTGAAGAAGATATATGTGTAGTAACGTAAGGATTTGAAAACTTTGAACATTGCTCATGATTTACATTGTAGAAGCCCGAAAAATAAAATGAAACTAGGCTATTATTTTGTGATGATCTAGTACTACGAGCCTAACCCATAGACGAAATTTATGCTCGGCCCACATAAAAATGAAAGCTCAAGTTCGATATGTCTTAAATAATTTTGATATCTTGGAAGTTCACAAGCAATTATAAAGATTTTCAAATAAAGAAGGATGAGATATAATGTTTTCGAAAAATTGGACCCAACAATGAAAGTTTATTTTTGTATAGTAAGCATTTTGAAAACTAGATTTGCCTACACGTTATTTTCAAAGGGACCAAGCTATAAATTTAAAAAATATATATAAACAGTATAATAGGATTTGTGAGTTTCTAATTGGAGACCTATATTGTTATTTCATCATTTTGCTAAGTAATTGAATTGTAGGGACCAAGGGTATAATAATAATAATAATAATAATAATAATAATAATAATAATAATAATAATAATAATTCACTTCAAAGTTTAAAATGATTAGCCATATGTATATATAAATACATATACACACACAAGAATAGAAATATGGGGGAATAGTTTGTATTTAATGGTGAATACTTAAGACATTAGACCCCGCCAATGATAAAAGAAATGAAATGGCAATCAACCATTTTCAAGTCTTTTTAATTGGAATTGATGGCTGCCCAAACATTTTTGGTAAACAAAAAGATAAAAAGTGGGATTGATTTTACATTTCCTTCAGGTTATTCTTGTTAATATATATCCACAATACACTTTGAACTAGAAGAAGCTTTAAAAAGTAAAAAAAATAAAAAATAAAAAATAATAATAATAATAATAATAATAAAATAAAAGGTAAGGAGAAGCAGATTTTTCTAAGGCATTGGTTGCATTTGGAAAGCAATACTTACGACCAACTTCATCGATGCAAAGGCGTCAAACTAAGGTAAGTAGATGTGCAAGTGTTATTTCGTTTTCAAATTATTATTTTTTGTCAAAAGTTTCAACGAAATGCTACCTCCCAGGTACAGTGCCTCGGCACTAATATTGTTTGAATGATCATTCTCCAACTCTACGTGTTATGGTAGTGCCATAGAATTTGGATTTTATTGAAAATTCATCTACATGCAACGGTATGATTTATAATTCAAATTATCTAATTTGATAACGAAATGCATCAGTGATATTTATCTCATGGGATAATTTCCTTCCTATTGGTTTATTAAATTTGCTTGGGACATGGATGATGGTAGATGGAGATACATCATGTCATGGAGAAGTCGATGATTTAATGTCTTTAATTCGATTATGAATAGTTTACGTTTTCTTTTAAATAGATTTCTATGGACGCTATATGTGGAACTATTCTACAAACATTTCTTTATGAATAAATTATGTTTAAAATTATATATGTGTTCTAAAAATTAACTTACAAAACACTGTGTACAAAAAAAAATGTATTAGCTTTTCAACGTTGCTGTTTCTTTAAAATTTCAGTTTCTGCCTTGACTTTAAAAATTTGTAACTCAATTGTTACTTGGAATTTTTAGATAAAACAAATGGCGTTTGATAGCCTCATAGGTTAATTACTGAATAAACTTGGAATCATGTCAATCCGATGTTGGTAGAATTTTATGTCACTTAAAGTAACTGCACTGGATAGTGTTGTTGTTTTTAGCTTCAGCCATTGGTTTCGAAAATTCATAACTCAATCGTTACTTGGAATTTTTGGACGAGGCCAATGGGATTTGATAGTCTCATGGATTAGCTACCGAATAAAGCTGAAATCATGTTGTTTCGATGTTTGTGTCATTTTATATATCATTTTAAGTGAACTACAATAGTTTACCTTTTAATCGAGCCGCTGCGAAGTTTTGAAAAATACTTTAATCACTCATATGTTGTTGACAGAAGCCATTTTTGAATATATCTTATTATAAGGAGTTTCCTACTTTTCATTAAAATTTCATGAAGTTTTGGAGTCAATAGTTACAAACGAGCTTATTTTGGCACCTGTCATAAGGACACAAAAAAAAAAAAAAAAGCTTTGTTTTTGTTATTGTTAGCGGGATTTTGAAAAACATTTTAACACCTCAGATGTTGCCAGCAGAAGCCGATTTTTGGATATGTTATAATAAAAGAAGTTTGCTACATTCTTTTAAAATCTTGTGAAGTTTCGAGATTGATAATTATGTAAACGAATTTATTTTTAACATTTTCTGTTTGGGAAAGAAAAGTAAAGTACCGTATTTATATTTTCTGCCTAAAATGTTAAAGTCAATGGTACATGCTTGAAAATCAGTCCAAAGGCCTTTTTGAATTTGTTTCCTTTAAATATTAAATTTTGTTGTGTTGCTAGAATAAACTATATAAATATATAATACTTAAGTAAATTTTACAGTAAATTATTATGTATTCCACAAAAAAAAGAAGTAAAATAAAAAAGAAAAGGTATAGTTAGTTAAATTAAATTGTTATATTAATATTAAGTTTAGATTAAGGTACAATTGTTTGAGTGACTTTTCAATCCATGCGGGTCGGGGTATTACATATATTCTGAGAGTAGAAGAAATAAATGTTACCTACATGCTGCTCCTCACACTTTATCAAAAGTAGAAAGGCAAATGTTTTGCAAAAGGTTTGCTAACTTGAGATTACCTGATAATTAAGGATATAATATTGAAAATTACATTTTCAATGGAAGAATGTAAAATAGTTGGATTCAAGCCTCAGGATGTTATATTTTAATGCAACAATTATTACCAATTGCATTGAGAAGATTTCTACCTAAAGGATCAAGGAACTACATTTTTAAATTATGTTCATTTTTTAATGAAATATGTCAAGGAGTTGTACATAGAAAGAATATTGAAAAATTAGAGAATGGTGTTTCTGAAACTTTATGCATGTTGGAAAGGTATTTCCCGCCTTCCTTTTTTGATATAATGGTTCATCAATCCACATTGGAAGAGAAGTTCATTTATGTGGACCAATACAATATCGTTGAATGTACTCATTTGAGAAGTAATACTCATCTATGTTATTCCCAAAAGTTCAATTCATTATCAAATCGGTTTTATATGTTTTAGATTGTTACATTTGTATATGTATATGAAAGTGTTGAAAGGGTATGTTAATCGTGCACGACTTGGAGGGTGTATGGTTGAACGATATATTGCAGAAGGAAATGTGATGTTTTATAGCAAATACATCACACAAGCATCGGAAAAAGGCTCTAAGCCTGCATGCAATGAAGAATATGAGAGTGATTTCTTAATTGTATGGCGTACAATCTGTAAAGGGAAGTCGTTTGTACAGTGTGATGAAATGTTGAAAGTTGCTTATTACTATGTATTGCTAAATAATATAGACGTTTAGCCATACATAGAGTATGTTATTAAATATTTACTTCGATAAATTTTAAGTTGTTCGACCATATTTATTTTTTGATGGATTGTATTTACCCTAGGAAGCATATGGACAAACTCAAAAGTTATGACAAACGACTAGAAAAAAATGAAACTTTATTGTATAAGAAGCACATTAATCCCTTTGCTGCCTAGTTGGATGATAAGGTTGGAATACACAAAAAAATCAATGTCTAGTTTTGATATTTATTATTTTATTTCTAACATTTTTAAAATAAAAACGTATTAAAGTTTAGTTGTTGATGGACAATTCGAACAATTAGAAGTCGCTTGCACCTAGTCCTAGTTGTCAGTCCATGTCATATTCTAGTTTTGTCATAAATAGTCTTCAGTTTCACACTAAAGATGTAGAAAAATCTCGCCAAGACAATGGTATTTCAGTTGAAGGGACAACCATTTGTAGATCTAGTGCAAAAGCAAAATCATATATAGTTGGGCAAGTTCTTTATTATGGAGGATTGTGTGATATTATAGTTCTTGATTATAACATGTTTCATGTTCCAATATTCGAGTGTAATTGAGTAAATATCATGAATGGAATAATCAAGGAAATGGATTCACTCTGGTTAACCTTAATGAGGGACATAGGCAATATGAAAATGATCCTATTAATTTGGCAACGCAGGCGAATCAAGTCTTTTATTTTAGGGAAAATGAAACATCTAGTTGGTATGTTGCTTTGCAAGCGCCACTACGTGAGTTTCGTGCATCACACATAATAGAAGATACTACTTATGAGGCAACTATTTCACTATATACATCACAGCCAATTATAGATAACCTTATGAGGATGAGAATTATACAAGGATAGACGTCGAAGGCGTATTATACGATACGTAGATTAGTTAGATAACACCCTTGCATAGTTATTTTTTTTTAACATTTGTAGATATAGTACTTTTTACATAATGATTAATTTTTTATAGTACATTTTAACATGCAGCATATCTAATATTCTTATTGTGATGAAATATTGAATGTTTAGAATTTGTTAAGATTGCTACCTTACTTTTTTGTTTTTCATGTTACAGATTTTTATTCCATCTCTAGATAATCTTTCGAATCAATTGACAGTGCATAATAGATTTTATATGTTGGACAAAGATGCGGTAATTGTGTTTTCCTATAGTATGTAAGATATTTGGTAAGTTTTGAAAATAATTATGTATATCTTTTGTTTTCATGCTGCATTTTTAAAGTCAACCAAGAGTTCTAAACAACAAAGAGTTGCAATTGATGCCGCAATTTGAGAGACTAATAAATGATTAAAAACTTCGAGTGACCTAGAACATACTATATCTGTTCCAATTAATGATGAGCAAAACATGGCGCCAACAAATATAAATAAACCGAAAAAGAAAAGATGTCCAACTAAAGTGAAAATGATTCCTGAAAAGAATTATCAAAAGATGAAGCTCGAATTCAGTAAATATGGGCAAGTATTTGAAAACAACAGATAAATTTTCGAGCACAGTTGAAGTCATAGTACGAGAACATGTGCATGCTGTAAGTAAACATTGGCATTCGATCCATGGAAGGAAAAAAGTCGAACTTTGGAATTTCATAAAAG